TGCTCGTGGGTCTGCCCCGCGGTCGTGGGCGGCCGCGTGGGCAGCAGCCTAGTCGCGCCTCTCCCGCCCGCTCTCTTCTGCTTTCAGTTCTGCCTGCTGGTTCCTGGCTCTCAGGCGTTGCGATTACATCCGTAGACAGAGCGTTTTGCTCTTTGGGCACGCTTACACCTATTTTGTGCTGTCTGGGTCCGTTGAAATTGTTGATATTTGCGCAGCAGAGAGCAACTTCCCCAGCAGAGTTCAAGAAGCGGACTCGACGCCTCTCGTCTGGTTTTGAGCAGGGCAGTGCCAGTGTGCTACACTGCTCTTGACAAAGGTTATACAGTATTTTTCTGTCAGCTCAGCTGTGGAGATGGTGACCTCGGGCTGCAAAAACCTCTGACATCACTGCCTCATGCTAAAGAGGATGCCTGTCTATGCTTGTGAAGTGTGAAACACCTACTAGGTGAATTAAACCGTGAGAAATGAAACAGAATTGGTTAGGTGGTTTTAAAAACAACTGCCTCATTCAGTCAAGTCTTCCATATTCCAGAAAATACTAGAGACTTGCCTTGCTAGAATACAGGTAGTTAACAGGTTTACATTCACCTGCCTGTTAAATGCTTAGCATGGCTTGCTGGCCCGTGGTCAGATTTCTAATTTTTAATGATCAATCAGTCATATTACTGTCCTCTTTAGGCTACTTTTCCACAGTCATGTCCACAGCTGAAATAGGGTTTTTTGCCTTTGAAATTAAGAACAGAGTCTTGGTTCTTTAAAGAATATCTCCTTACTTCTATTTAAATACAGCAGCATTTCGTTGCAATACTTAAGATGAAGAGAAAAAACTTGAAGACCTGCAGTGTTGGCGAGAAAAGCTCGCTCTGGCCAATACTGTGCTTGCTTGCTGGCCATTGAGCTGTATTTACCTGCAGGTGTTGTGGTTGGATGATTGCTTTCAGTCCTGCTGGAGCAGTTCAAGAAGCTATTGTCTCACTCAGCTGAGATAGTGTAGCCTCCAGCTATAGGAGGTGGTTAATGTCTAAGCTGTTCTAACGTGATCACAGGTAGTTGTCGGGCCATACTGCCTCTTTTGTCTTAATGTGATTGCTGAGAGTTTTGATCTAGTGTTAGAATTCTTTAAAATATTTTTTTTGCTGTATTAATTTACTTGTGGAATATACCACTTGAACAGTATGGTATATTCCTAGCTAGTGCAATTAAAGTTTTAAGTTTCACTTAATCTGTTCATTCCTCTGATTGCATATATGTATATATGTATGTATGTCTATTTATCTATATCTCTATTTTTTTTATTGTAGGTGACTCAGCCATTATATGTATGAGATTTGTCCACACACTGGCTCTTCAGACAGGTTAGCTATACTTTTCTATGATCAGTTCCATTATACCTGAAAACTCTGAAATTGAATTTTATAAGACATTGTGTTATCTACTGCAGAAGACTGAATTACTTCTACCTGTAGAGGAAACAGCTGGACATGCTTACTTTCTTTTGGCATTGTTTAAGTATGCTCTATGATATAAATCAGACCCTCCTAAACTTAATGTCCATGTAGCAGTGTCACTGGTGACAGCAGCAGGTCTTAGTTGCATACGCGCTGAGGGAAGAGTTGATTTGTCTTGGTTTGTGTCACAACAGTAAGGGCTACATACTGCTGTTATTTTTAAAGTGCTTTTTCTTGTTGGCTAATTACAAAAAGCCAACTTTATGTACAAATTACAACTTTACAAAGTCTAGTGGAGATGTACTGGAGATTTAAACTCTGAACTCTTAACAGAGATTTAAACTCTGGACTGTATAATTCAGTTGGAGACTTATTGATGCTGGTTTAAATCGCCTTTCCTGACTCGTGGGAAACATTGTTAGGATGGCTTGTTGAATTTGAAAATATGTTGTGTATTATCAGTGTGGGCACTTGTGACGAAGAACACTAACTTTTAACAGCATGGATTATTCCAATGTAAGAGTCTAAATCAGCTAGTGAAAAACGGTGTGATAAAAGTACTCATCTTTTAAAGTGCTTCAGAAAATGAGCAAGCATTCCAGTTACAGATGGGATGCTGAGGTGAGGTGCAGAATGTAAGTGGTTCAGAAGGCTCTATGTAAAGCGCAGGGTAGGATGAAGGTGTTTTCCCAAGCTATTGTTCATGCTGGTGGTGCTGCTGAAAGTGAGTCTCTTGCTCTGGCCATGTTTTCTGCCTCCATGCTATGGCACCTTAAGTGTTCTGTGACTGTGCAGCCTAAACGCAAGGCAGAAGGACTTAGCCTGTCACAGATAACTCACAGTCTAAGTCATGTCACCGAAAGTCATGTCACCGAAATCAGTCCCTGTAGAAGCTGTACCTTTCTCTTAAGGTTTTCAGATCAAATAACTGGGCTAACTTATGACTGCTTAGCCTGGAGTGACATGGTGGTCTGATTTGGTTTGGCTGTGAAATATACAGATTGTAAATTGCATGTAGCCATCATCAATGTTGAGGGGTAGTAAACTGTGTGGGTTTTTTTTCTAGTCATTGGCTGAAGTTTCAGTTTTTGCTGTTTGATGCCTCCAGTGGAAGTCAGTTTCTGGCTTTCCAGTTGTACTTTCTTTTGTTTTCCTTCGATATATCTGATCTCTAGCTCATATTTCCAGTTCTCAGTTAAACCCTTCTATTTAGTTGTAGCTAGTTGTTAAATGTTTTTCCTTTTCAATATGTCTCCCCTTTTTGTCTAGTTTACTCTCTGCTGAAGTAAAATCAGTTTGTAGGCTAGACTGTTCAAACAGAAATTTTTTATTGTACTTCTGTGCCTTGATATTACTAGTTATACCTTTTGACTTCATGTTGCTTGGATTCTTGAAGTCCTCTTGTTACCAAGGTAACTGACTATCTCAGTCTTTTAGAACAACTCTTCCCAACTTCTGTGTGCGTATAGAGAGTATTAGATTTGAATTTAGCATGATGAGCTGTGCTCTTCCCCTTCTAGTCCTTTTTTTTTTCCTCAGTTGTCGTTTCCTTCAGACTCTCCTGCTGAGGTTCTGGCTGCACATCTTCCATCATCTCTTTGTACCCTCCCCATCCAAGGTCCCATCAGGCAGTGGGATCTTGTTACCTTCCTTCTGATTTTGGCTAAAGCTGACCGTCTGTGCCGCCAGGAGGAGAAAGAAGCTTAATGAAGGGGATCCAGGCATCCTTGAGGACTGCATCTCCAACAGAGGCACTGGACAGCATCCACTGACTTCCTGAATACCTTCCAGAAGCAGTTATGCTGTTCCGGGTGCTCTGCTTGATGTCTTTCAGTGTCCTCTAGACTGATATTTGAGCCTATCATACTCTCTCACCCCTTCCCGTTTTTGTTTGTTTTGTTTTTGTGTCCTAAAATTAGTTTCTGTTCCTGTATTTCTTTTTCATTCAGCCCTTTTTCCCTCTAGGCAGGGCTTGATGACTTGATCAGGCGCCAATTCATCCCTAACCTAAAAGGAGAGGGACTAAAGGCCTTAGCTGCCTAGTCAGGCAGCGTGAGATGTCTGGCTAGAGGAGGGAAATGGGGAAGGAAGTTACTTCATGGTAGCTGAGTATGATTGAGAAACTTAGTGATTCAGTCCTCTTCTATTAGCATGCTCTCTGAGAGGCGTTGTGCGTCAGACGGATTATATTGCTGTTGTCATAACGAATTATTGAAAAGAAAAAAAAAAAGAGTACAAACACCACTTCCTTGAGTCAAATAAGAAAAAATAATCTGAAGGCCGCAGGTCAGTATACTGTCTTCTATGTGGAGGATAAAACAGATGGTCAACAAGACCTGGACTTTCAATCATGTGGAGCTAAATTCCACTTGTTCTATAGGAAAGAAATGGCTTTTATTGTTAAAGCCAGGTCATAGAGTAAATCTGTACTGGAGAGAGCTGACATGGAAAAAGCCAGATTTTCATCAAGCGTCTTAATCATTGGCTCATTTTTTTTTTTCTTTTTCTAGAAGCCTTCAGATGCTACTTCCTTTATTTTGGTCAAATATCAACAGTGGATTGCTTTGACTTAACGTCTGTCATGTTTGAGCCTGATTTGTATTTGGGGTGGAGGGAAGAGATTACGTTCCTTTATACATTGTGGGAGAAAGTTCTTCAGGTAATTTAAAATTCTAAGTTTCAGGATCTATAAAAAAAAAAAAAAAAAGACTTCATTAGACTTTATTTCTTTTGAGCGTTCCTCAGTGCGTAGGCCACATCTGTGTAATGTGCAAGTACATACTCCTATATAAGTTTAGGCTCTTATCTTTCAAATGTCTTAGATTCACATACTCGTGTGAGTGGGTGGAGGCCTTAAAGCATATGCTTTTGCGAGCAGGGCTTACCTGTCTCCACAGCAAGGTGTCTAGTACGGCCAAGCCTGCTTTGGGCCTGTAGGCATGCTGTTGTGCAAATTAGTAGGCTTTGTGTTCTTTTAGTGGGGAAAAACAAACCAAACCAAAACAACATTTTGACCAAATCATAAAGCTGGTTGTCTCTAGCATAATAGTGTTTGTACAAAAACCAACATAGTTAAAAAATCCTAATTCCCCAATTAGACAATTTTAAAAATATTTGAAATAACAGTAATGCTAAAGTGTTTCCCTCTCACTGTTATACAGTGTGATAAAAATAGCTTTCATTCATAAAAAGCTATTTCCTTTGTTAAATAATCTGCTTATCAGAGAACAAAAGTGCAGTTTATGGTAAACTGTAGTTGTATTATAGCCTCAACTCTGACACGTTTGTTCCTGGTTGAAATTAAACTGTGGTCTTTAGTCTTTTATAGCTGAAAGGCAACCTTAAATAACAAAGGATAGCTAGGCAATTCAGTAGTTGCTGCTCAGGAGTTATGAATGTGATGTAGCATAAAAATCCTATGTACTGTATCCTGCTGCTCCTTTTTTTTTTTTTTTTTTTTTTTTAAATACTGAACTTAACTTCAGGGGTCACAAAGTCTAGCTGCATGTTCTTATAAATGGTGCAGTATCCTCCCACTTGTAATCTTACCAGTTTTAACAGAGCTATCTGCATTTTGAATTAATTGGTCCTGTATTTCTCCTTTTTAAAAGGAATTTAGCCCCTTTTCTGGTTCTGGCTTATTAGATCTGTAGCATTACATTGTTCATCTTTAAGCAGCTCTGTGGAAAAGGACCAGGTACTGGTACTTCTACAGGTACGAGTCCATTGTGTGTGGGTTTTTTTTTTTTTTAATTTGAGATGTCATATTTTTTTTTAAGACCAAAAGACAATCCTTCAAAACCAAAATACCTAGTTCTATTTCTTTAGACCTTTATCAAGGTTTAGTGACGTGTTGCTGACTTTTTCAGTTAGAAGGCACATACAGCAACAGAAATAGACACTCCTGGATTTTATTGTAGCTAGTAGGTAGAAACAATGTGCAGGAGGTCAAAATGAAAGGTGACAAATGACAGTGGCAATGAAATCAGTTTGTGATTTTCTACACCCTACAGGGTGTAGGAGATAGAACAGCGAAATAAAAAGAGTTTCAAGAAATGAAGTAGTAAAACTGACTTCATTTGAGCTTTTACTGACTTCAGATGCAAGAAAGAACATAGAGGAAGTGGAGATAAGTCAGATTATAAAGAATGTGTGTAAAGAACATATGAGAAAGGACAGTGAGAATCAGTAGGGGAAGATATTGGAAAGGTCAAAGTGCAAACTGGGGTGCAACTAGCAAGAGACAAAGCTATCAAGGTTCCCATAGAAAATGTGGCCTTTTATTCAGGGAAGAAAGTATGTATCTACAGAAGATGCAGCACATTTAAAGTGTTCAGTGTCCTTTTTTGCTTGTCTTCTGTGAAAGTTAGTCATGCAGGTGACTAATTTTATTAATACTTCTGATGAGGTAATATTTGCATTAGAAAGTACTTTGGTTGAACACTTCTGTGCAGTTGGTCCTGATAAGCTTCATTGTAAAATTCTTAAAGCAGCTCAGAGTGCTTAGAAGTTATCACTGGACTCAGGAGTACTAAAAGGGAAGTTTTCAGTATTATAATGAAAGAGAGCTGAGGAAGGGGAGTTGGAAGTTTGACAGTTCTCTTAATCTGATCTGGTGGAAAAAGATAAATAAGCAAGTATTGTGTTTTCCAAGTACTTAGAAGATAACTGGGAGAAGAATGGCAACATGAACTGATTTGTGAAAAACTAATTGCATCAGATAAGTCTAATATCTTTCTACTGCAGAGCAGTAGACTTTGTGGACAGGGCAGAAACAGTACAGGTCTTGCCCCTTGATTTTTTTAATAAAGCTTTCTGAGGACTGGCTTTAGTTGTCTTTAATGAAAGCATCAGTTGATTGGTTGATGTAATGTGCTTATTAAATTCTCAGGGACTGCGTGTTGGAG